AAGATTATCAAGCATAAATAGAATTTGATCGTTAGATCATTTGACATGTTTAGTAAGTTGGAAAACAAAAATAAATCGAGACATTTGTTGTTTTGTCTTAGATTAGGTTGTTTGATCGATACTTACGCTTCAACGGAGTCATTCTGTCCAAATAGATTAGCTTGCTAAAGGAGAAAAGAAATCTCATGTGAACCCAAGTTAGGAAAGTCAACGAAATTAGATCAAATGACTTGATAAAGACAACATCAAGAACATAGTGACTACCAAACGAAGTAATTACTCACCAAATATCATACATAGCCAAGCTATGATTGATAGATTACGATTTAATGACAACTATTGCATTTCATATTGATAGTGCCAATTTCACATATTTTGATTTCTTGAAATGGAAGATATGGTGATATAAAGGAGAGGTAGAAATACACTCATGGCCACCCACTATCATCAAGTACTCGTTATGACATTTTCTCACCTCAAAACTAATTTTTTAAACTGTTGGAAAACAAAGAGAAAGATCTCTTCATAAATTATCAATTTAACGGTGTACATCGAGAATAGTATGGTTTGGACTTCTAACGTTGGTCGACATGTACATAATGACTTTCAAACAACTGGCTCAAAAGATGAAGATTTTCACATTGGGGCTGGCTTCAAAAACTCGTACGCATTGAATTCTTAAAGATCACTTATTCTGTCTGTACATTTATGTCTTAATGCATTGAATTTTTAGCATTATTCCACAAGACAAGGGACACCAAATATTAGGTGTCTTTGTCTAGTGGAGCATGATGACTTGACTTCCACACAATGAGATTTCACATGTCCTCAGCCTTGAATGATACTATTTACCTAAATTTATTCAAACTAATTGTTTTATTTTTATTTGAGTTTTTTATGGTTATGGTTTTCAAATTCAATGTATGGGCAAATTTTGCTCCACACCACTTCCCAAAGTAAATTATTTTTTAGTTTGACAACTCATTTAAAACAGATCAGAAATCTCTAGGGAGTTGACCAATTTTGCAACAAAGGGACATAATTTAGCCCTCGTTTGACAGCAAAATTTCATCCTAAAAAATCAATTTTTTGACCATCATTTTACTATTTCAATCGACATTTTTCACTTCTTCACTCATAGATAGGACTCACTTTTCTTTCTAACAGTTAAAAAATTAATTATCAAAATCACTACTGAACAGGTCCTTAGTTATGACCCTTAGTTTTGAGAAGTGATGTGGAGCAAATTTTGCCCAAACATCGAATTTGAAACTCAAGACCATAAAAAGAGTGAAAAATAATAATAATTTATGTAAAAAAAAAAAAAAAACTAAAAACCATTTTTTTGGGAAATATGAAACTTAATCCCATCACTGGGAAAATAAGTGAATATAAACTAGAAGAAGAAGACAACAACGATGCAACTATGTCATCATGATCAGAAATAGTTGAATTCTCTGCTGAATCGAGTTGCATTTTACTAATCTGTCATAGCAACTCCTTTTGGAATATCCCTAGACGTGCCGTGAGCTTGGTGTCAGGAAATATAATTGGATCACACGAAAAGCCTAAGAACTCGAATACAACATAGAAAGTATTGGATCAAATTTTTTAAATTCTTTTTGTTCTTTGATCCTATGAATATACTTAACATTCAAATAGTCTCCTAACTATTATTGGATCAAAAGGGTTAATTTTCATCAGATTTTAAGAGATTATTAAAGCATCAAGAAAACTTACACATCATCCATAAACTTTGCAGAAACCAAAACGCTTGTAATAAGCAGGCGATGAACATTGAAAGAATTGATAGGCAACAATGGCTGTTTCTGCGTAAACCGCTCTAGATAAATGTATGCAGTGATATAGCAAGAAGGGCTGCAGTTTGCATACTTGAAGATCCTCTGCAAGTAGCTGTTGAGAGAAATGGTAGGCCTTGTCAAGCCATGGAAGATAGAGATTTTCTGCGAGTCGAGACATCGGAAGACGTCATTGGTTTCAGCTACTCTTTGAAGAAGGGAAGAGAGGAATGTAATGACTTTAGGAATTTCTTGAGAATTCTCAAAATCTGCCATTGATGGATGTTTTGCTCGTTGATTATTAGTGTTTGGTGGTACTTTGATGGCTAAATGGTATTTAAATTTGTGTAAGACTATGTATGATGTGAAAAGAGTTTTTATGTGTTTGTGCACTTATATAGGAATGCGATTGACCCGGAAATTAATGGGATTGGAATGAGCTGGTAATTCCATTCCACAATTTTAATTTTATTCCTACTTCTTAGTGAGATTCATATACCTAGCATTTTCTTTTCTTTTGGAATATGAGCATGTTTGGTAAACTTAAATCATAACGTAGGTTGGTTATTTTTTATTCACATATCTTATATATAGTAAATTTTATAACTTAAAAGCACTATCGAACAAGCACAAATTATGTTCATTCTCATCAATATTGTGTTAGTGTGTATTCTATTTGAAAAAAGGAAAATAATTACGATAGATGACCAATATAAATGTTCATGACCTTTCTGATATACATCTCGTTCGGAGCATTCCCTACTAGCAATGAGTCATTTAGTTGTGTAAAATCTCGAATTAAGTCAAAAGTAGGCCATGATTAACAAGTGTATATCCCATAATCAAGATGACACTTCAACGTCTAGAGGCGTCGAAAGGTAAATAAAGGTTCTTGCCTTCTAATGAGCAGGAGTATATCGAAATTGTAGAAAAGGACTTTAGAGGACTTAGGTTTTTTAACATAAAATTTGAATAATTAAATGTAAAAGCTTAGTTTACCATGAAGTTAAGTTTGGGGTTTTACCATAAAATTGGACTTAAACAAAGTTTGGTACGGACTTTTCTTATAATGGACGAAAAGGGTCAAAAGTATTTTGCTAATTTGGAGGAGAGATTTGTGTTTCTATATGACCAATTTAATGGCCACCACAAGAAAAGAATACATTAGTTTCTTATTTCACCAATAAATTTTTTGTTTCCAATAAGTAAAGTAATTTTTCTAAATTCAACTAAACATGCTCCTAATCCTTAATGATTTTATATTCATTAAATTCACATTTAAATAAAACCAACACTATCAATAATTTGAACAACTATATGTAGTCAAAAATTTGTTTAGAGTTTAAGTAGATATCTATTTAAATAAAGATATGAGTTAAGTCACTCGACCTGCACCGATGACCACGGGGATGATCGCACCCTCACATGGAACGAGTGGATCCTGTGTGAGTTGAAAAATCCCCACCCCTATGTGTGTGTGCGAGGTCATCCTCATAGTCACTCTTGTTGTTCATGTAGCATAACCCAAAAGATATTGGTAAATTTTAATAATCTAAGCCCTTTTTCATAGCTCTCGTGTTCCCACGATTCTTTTTGAACATATGGTTACTAGAATCATGACAAGGTGGGCAATTGGCCAAGTTTCTTGGACATCTATTACCATCTCATCTAACCACGAGCTTATAGATATACATTTAAACTATAACTACGAATAAAACACATATGTGGGCCGTCTTAGTTGATCTCTAAGCTACTACAAGACAACTATTGTAACACTATTCGACAATACCTATGCGGTCCATCCTCAAGATGGCGAGTTTGCGTATTTTTCAATCTTTATAAAGAAATACACTCTACTAAGCAATATGAATGTGTTATCATGTTCCATCAACACACTAAAAGGGTTATACGATATAACCGCTGTGGAAGTAGGCCAACATTTCTATTGGCAAATAGGGGGTTTCTAAGTCCATGGCCAAGTACTTATTACGTCTTGGGTTGTAATTGCTATTTTATTAGGTCCAGCTACTATAGCTGTTTTCGGAACCCACAAACCCTTCTGACTGGGGGTCAGAATTTCTTCGAATATGTTCTTGAATTCATTCGAGATGTGAGTAAAACTCAAATTGGAGAAGAATATGGGCCTTGGGTGCCTTTTATTGGAACTGTTTCTATTTATTTTTGTTTCTAATTGGTCTGGAGCTCTTTTACCTTGGAAAATCATATAATTATCTCATGGAGAGTTAGCCGCACCAACGAATGATATAACATATTTATCTCATTTTTCATAGTACATAAAGCAACACATCAATTTCAAGCAACCATAATAAATTGAGCTTTAATTACACTCAAACTTCTTCCATAAGCAACAATCAACCATCAATAAAAAGAAATATTTAATGATTACTACGTCATATATTTTAGGATATCAATAATAGTAAGTTCATAACAGCACTTAAAATTCCCCAAAGAGCTAAGCACTTATTGGAGTAAGATTGCAGCTTTCAAATCATCATGGAAAGTGGAAACCCTATCTTAATTAAAATGGAAATAATAGGCTTCCTCCTTCTAAACTCAATTTCTTTTAAAACTTTACCTAGGGGCGGACCTAGACAGTTCGAACTGTGGGGTCCAAAAAGAATTTTTTTTCGAACAACGTATCATGAACAAAAAGGATAAATCGGTTGTTTGCTAAAGATTTAGGATTTGGACTTTTTGGGGCAGAAAATTAAGTTTTCAGCAAATAATAATAATAATAATAATAATAATAATAATAATAATAATAATAATAATAATAAATAAAATTTCAAAAAACTGTGAGGTCATTTGACCCCATGTAGGTCCGCCCCTAACTTTATCCGTACCTACTTTGATGAGATCTTTACTCTTTTTGATCAGCATAGGGGTTGCGAGATGACAATACTATTGTAATTACGAGTCTCTTTTATATCTGCAACTTTTGTCATAGTATAAACTGAAAAGAATGTGCTTAAAAGATTGCACCCCTAATTTGGTCAAAACAAATGATGATATTAATTTTTTTAGATTACTCATAGGGATAAATTTGGTTGAAAGTATCGGTAATCAAATTCCATGCTTTCGATAATGCTATAATTATATGGTAACTTGAGCTTGCAAAAAAAGGATATAATGATTTTGGAGTGAATTTCACCAAAATGATAATTGATTTTCATAAGAAACCACATTGCTTGACACTTTGCATGGTGGAAATTGTTTACGTAATTACAATACTCAATCATACTAAAGGCTACACAGTACACATATCACATATAATATACTAAGAATATAATTTTTGAAATTTTGAACTAGTCAATTAAAAATGAATAATTGGCATACTACCTCTCTACGTTTGCATGTTTTACGGAAGACCACCTAACCTATCATTTTAGCGCAAAATCCCCTTAATCACCCAAACATTGCAAAAGGCCCGATGCATTTACATCTAATAGTTTATACATTGAAAAATAGTTTAAAGGGCCAAAATGAATAAAAACTCAAATAACATTGTTGTCCATTCAACTCCACATATTTACTCAAGATTGTGTTTGCTTAAAATAAAGAGAGGGACCAACAGGCGTAATCAACATAGCAACCTTAATAATCTACCAAAAATTTCAAAATCAACACAGAACGAGAAGTCTTTATTACGCAAATTTTATAAAATTCAGGGTTGTATTAAGCAAAGTTTATCGATTTCAAGGTTGATTTGCTCACAAACGTTTGAACAATTAACATGGTCTTCTTCTTCCACAATACAGATACTGTTAGGAGTATAACTCAAATAGGAGTCTTTTGAATAGGCGTATTCGACTTGAACTAAGAGAATATTAACCTAGGGCTTACGAAAACTAAGTTGAATAAGGAAATAAAATCCTGTTGAAATTGGATCTCCTAATTGTAATATATTTTCTTGCCTTTTAGGACTCTTCTAGGGTAAGCCTATAAGTACGAGACTCCTCTGATCATTTGTAGAGAGAGTAACATAGAAGCAATATTGCTAATCTGTCTTGTATTCTTCATACTGTTGAATTAATAAACAATGTTCCTCTATGTTTATCCTTTGTGTTCTTTCTTTACAAATTCAATCTTGTATTTTCATGGTGTGATCTAGTATACTTCAATATTGTCATTAAATCTCGTTTTTTATAATCCGATTTGGAAACAACGTGTTATTGGAGCTTTCGCGCCCGACAAGTGGTATTAGAGCGAGGTTGTTGATTTTCTGTCGATTGGTTGAAATTCTTTCAAGATGGTTGGGTTGAAGTATGATGTTCCGCTGTTAGATTGCAATACAAGGTTCTCGTTATGACAAGTAAAGATGAGAGCTATTTTGATGCAATTGGATTTGGATGATGCGTTGCTGGGTATTGAGAGGATGCCAGCTGGTTGGACAACGGAAGGATCGGAAGGCTGTTTCATTGATTCATCTTCATCTGTCCAACAATATTCTGCAGGATGTCTTAAAGCAAAAAACAGCATCTACTTTGTGGTTGAAGTTGGAGCAATTGTGTATGACTAAGAGTCTTACAAGTAAATTGGCTATCAAACAGAAGCTATATTCACATCGCATGGCGGAAGGAGAGTCGTTGGAAGATCATGTTCCCATATTCAAGGAAATAGTTGCAGATCTGGAGACATTGGAGGTTAAGTACGATGAAGAGGATCTTGCCTTGATCCTATTGTGTTCGCTGACTAGATCTTATGCGTCGTTTTAGGATACTATCTTGTATAGTCGAGATACTTTGACTACAGAAGATGTCTATGATACTTTGCACTCAAAGGAGAAAATGAAGCATTTGGTTGGAGCTACATCAAGGGATGGGAAAGCTCTCGTATCTCAAGGTGGTCGACGAAGAGGTAGATCAAGAGTTAGATTTAGCAATGTGACCTGTTACTACTGCAAAAGGAATGGACATATTTGAAATGATTGTGATATGTTGCAGGCTATAGGTGATTTAGCTCTAAATCGTGGGGTGCAACCTTGAATTCAAACGAAACCAATGTAGTTGAGAATTGTTCAGATAGCGAAGAGGTGATGTTAACCGTAATATGTGATGTGGAGTCTATGCCTAACAAAAAGTGGATTCTTGATTCAACGTGTTCGCACCATATGTGTTCCGATAGGAATTTATTTCAGACATTTGAAGCTGTTCAGCAAGGTGGAATTGTAATGGAAAACAACCAATCTTGTCGTATTGCTGGGATCGGTCGAGTTAGATTGAGGCTGCAGGATGGAACATTTAGAACAATTGATC